GCGTACGCTCCAGCCAGCGTGGAAATCGAGAGTATGACCCGGTCAAGGGTATGACCTGTGGTGCAGGCTGTATGTCTGGTAGTTTTTCCACCGGCACTACAAACTATCGTTTGGAAATTGTTAAAGCGCATGATGCTTCCGAGGGGCACAGAAAGATCCTAGCAAAAAGAAATGCAAGGACCATGCCTGTTCACGAAACAGTGAGGGCAAAAACATTAGCCACAATAGTAAAACTGAATATTCTAATTAGCAACTGCTGACAGCTCTGATGATGATGATTACGCAAGCTACAGAGATGTAACTGATTTCCATCAGAGGTCCTATGAAATGTTAATAAACCAAATGATATTAATATTTAAAAAACCATGATCACTTCATTTGTTTTCTTATGATCCATATCAATGTTACGTATATTTTATACAATTGAATGTCTTTTATAAAACCTTTCTGGGGAGACCCCTTGTACCCTGGGGGAGACCCCCTGTACCCCTTAGCAGAAGGGGGGCTCCACCCTCCTACCCCACTTACCTTCCGGCAAATCACAATGCTCGTCGCTCTGCGCCTAGTAAGAGTCCTTCAGCAGGACTAGTAGAATCTTGGAAGGACTATTCCATTTTTAGCTCGCCTTGACATCGTCAAGATGAGCTATTGCCATGGGTCGTCGTCCGTCCGTCCTTCCGTCAACATTTAGCTACGATCAATGATAACTCAAGAACAGTTTTACCCACATGTTTCAAATTGCATATAGTTGTTACTTTTATGGGAGAGGTTTCAACGTCCTATTTTGGAGCGCGCCAGTCGACCTACATTTGAGCCACGTCCACTTTTTGGCAAAAATGGAAATGGCCATAAGTCAGTACAGGTTCAACAGATTTTGCTCATTTCTAGTATGTGAATGAATGAGGACTGGCCCCAAAACATATCACACAGGTTTTGATATATTTTTTTAAATTAGGTAGATTTTGGCAATTTCACTATGCATTTCAGTGTCTGCCTACGGTCAACGATATCTCAAGAAACGTTTGACCCACATGTTTCAAATTGCATACAGTTGTTACTCCTACATCCTATGGGAGAGATTTGAACGTCCTATTTTGGAGCACGCCAGTCGACCTACTTTCGAGCCACGCCCACTTTTTGGCAAAAATGGAAATGGCCATCTAAATTCATTCGATTTTGTTAAATTTTGGTATGTGAATGTGTAAGGCTAGCCCCAAAACAGTTGTTACTCCTATGGGAGATATGACAATGTCCTATTACGTTTATTTCGTCTAACTGGTCAACAACTTTACAATCATACCTATATACGTGTAATATTGTGTTTTAGATTCTTCGTGACAGTAATTTGACTGGAATATTTTATTGTTTTTATTTGCGCGATATTCGAAAACCAAAATGGCGATCATTTAGGCGTAGCGCCATCTCTCGTTAAGATTTCAGACTTTCAGATCTGAAACATTTATTTTCGCATCAAAACTTATGCATATATATCATTATCAAGAGTATATAATGGGAGATATGCTATATAATGGGAGTTCTCCCATATATACTCCTGCTTTATATATCCCCCCTCCCTCTTCTATCACACCCAAGGTGAGCTACAGTGTCATTGACACTTTCATTTCTTTTACTAGTCCTGTGGACTAATGAACTAAAATGGTTAGTATCTAACCCGGATAGTGCTACGCACTGAGTTACTAAGAGTCGTTAACACTAATCACACAGCTACTGACGAGCGTTTCCTCTGCTGCTGCTGCAGGTACTGTTAGCGATGCGTGCCAACGTGGAAGACCGCGGCCTTAAGGGAGACTGCACGCCGCTGATGGAGGCAGCAAGCGCGGGCCATGTAGACATCGTCAAGCTGCTGCTAGCGCACGGGGCCGACGTCAACGCCCAGTCCCAGGCCGGTGCGTAGTCTGTGTGTGTGTGTGTGTGTGCGTGCGCGTGTGCGTGTGCGTGCGCGTGCGCGTGTGTGTGTATGTG